CCTCCAGGAATTCAGCACTGCTTCCTGTTGCCACCCTGGCAAAGAGGGTCCAGATCCAGGAGCTTCCACTTGGGCCTTCCTGCCTTAACAACTCTTGTTGCAGATGGTTCTCTCCAACTATACGCTCAGACCAGGAGACACCTAGAGACCCAGTGGACCCTCTGGCGGTGGATGTGGCCAGGATACCTGGAGACAGCAGCCTGCAGCTCTCGTCATTGCGCTTTTTCCTTCTTCTTATATGAGCTGAGCAACACTTGAGTCAGCTGCATCCACTAGATCCTAGGACCCCAGCCTCTATCCATCAGCCACCCTGGCAGCTTCCCATGGGTGAAAGCGCTGTGATTATCACCTGGGTCTTGATGCATCACAGTGGTTCCACCCACCTGCCTCTGCCAGTCCCAAATCCTGTTGCCAGGACCCAATTCCAGGGCATCGCCCATGACGCTCACCCCTGGCCTGCAGGCAGCCACCACCCAGCTAGTCCCCAGTGTCAGAGCCCCTTCCCAGCAGGGCACTCTCAGCACCTTAGTGGGGCAGCATTATCTGTCCTCACGTGGCAAATCTGCTCAACACCCATGCCTCTACGTGTCCCTGAGCCTGCAACTCCAGGCAGCCCATGCACTCCTCCACTTACTGACACCTGCCACCCATAAGGAGCCAGCAGGTCCAGGCCCGGCCAGTGTCCTTGCCAGGACATCACACCTGGGCTGTACATGAGTGCCCACACAGCGGTATGTTGTGCCCCACTGGCCTTTCCTCTGCTATCCCCTCCACCCCCCCATGGACCCCAGGTCCTGCACTTCCTTCAAAGAGCAGCCATTTCCCCCTGCAGTAGGGACTGGACTTCTCCACTTGGACAGACCATGAGGGCTGAGCATGGCCTGAGGTCTCTGAAGGGAGTTGCCTGGGCTGGCACGAAGGGCTCACGTGAATCTGGCGTTCCAATTCCCAGGTTCACCACCAAATATCCCATCTGGGGTCAGGACCCAACCCTCCGCCTCTCAAGGCCCTGACTTTGGCCTGGGAGCCATCAAGGCTGTGGGTTCAGTCTTCGTGCAGTCCCATCACCATGACGAGATCCTTGAGTTGCCTGAGGGTCTGTAGGAGACTCACTTCCTTCAGGGTTGCCTCTGCAGCATGCCTGCGTCAATGGTTGGCTTATGAAGCCTGGTTTTCTTTTTGTCAAGATTTCCTGTGAGGTTAACAAAGGGCACATACCCTTGATTTCCCCTCTGTCATTCCACTCAAAGGCCACAGCACTGTATAGCCCAGGGGTTTCCAAACTCTGCCACACATGGGAGTAGAACCAGTACGACTAAGCTCAGGAGCTGTTCTTCTGTGGGACCCAAGAGGAGAAGTTGGCAGGGAGAAAAGATTATAACAGATATGCAGAGAGATGAGGCTGAAATATCATGACTTAGAGCTTCCTGATAGTTGTTTATTTGCCATTTCTGGTTCCTCTCTGAGATCTGGCCTGCATTCTCCATTTTTGCCATGCCATTTCATGAGATAGCCTTAAAATAAATCCCCCCTTGAACTGTCTAAGCTAGCTTGAATTGATCCGTTGCTTGCAACCACAATCCTAATGTATAGAGAAACAGCAGCTATTTTTGTCATCCTTACAACAGAGAGGAGCACTTTTGGCATCAGCCCACATAACCTACGTCAGGTATGCAAAAAAGACCTGTTTGCCCATGGATCAGGGCAGGTCCAACAAGCCCAGCTCTGTCGGCACAGCAGCACCGTCTGTGTCACAGCTCAGTGGTCATCCATCTGGCCTCCAGATGAGCCGCATGTTATAGATTTGCCTTTATGCAGTGAAACTAAGACAGTGGAAGTAACTAGAAAGCCTTTTCCTCTCTTCCCCTTACTGTAAAGAGATGATCTTAGTACAGTCATTCACATCACGTTTCTGTCAACGATGGACTGCATACACGACGGTGGTCCCATATTAGCACCATAGAGCCTAGGTGTGTGGTGGACTGTACCGTCTAGGTTTGCCTAAGTGCACTCTGTGATGTTCACTCAATGATAAAACCACCTAACAACACATTTCTCAGGTGACCCACCGTTAAGTGACACATGACTGTAAACTCTTCAGCAATCAGGCTTTTTAAACAATCCAACACAGAAATACAGTTACATGTTTTAATTAGATATAACTTCTCTTTTCAAGAACACACAGGTTCTTTGGTGAAGTTTCTTCCTTGCCATAACATCGAATCATTGGTGCAATGTTTGCAGAATTATTTTGTCAACATGAAATCAACACTTTATCTGCCAGTCCATATATGTATTATATATACACACACACAAGAAATATGTTTAAGAATCACGTATCTTTCTGAATTTTAACAACAGAAAAAAAAAGCATATTTACCAAATGCATTGACTAGATTCACTTACAGAATTATCACCTGCTTCTCGTTTTACTTTTGGAAGATCCAGGTCAATCCCCATGGCTTCTAACTTCATTCCAAAGTAAAGAACCCTGAAATAGGGACTTTCACAGTAAGCAAAACTAGAACACCCAAAGCCCTTCCATTTTAAGCCTCTGCAACCTCATCCACAACAACCTGACATCCCCAAATCAGTTACACAGACCACGAAATGATCACTCCTTTTCCTCACCACAGTGGAGCCCAGGCTCCACCCAGAGGCAGGGCCTTGCTTCAGCACTGGCCCTCAGGCTGTCCTGGTGAGGATGCAGGCTCCTTACCCTGGAGAGTCCTCTCCCGTCCTGCGCAGGAGGTCTCAGTACTGTGACCTTCAGGAAAGCAGCCAGGACAAATAATGTTCTAAAGTCCCTACAAATTCTGCATACACATCAAACAGCTCTTGGGCTCCTGTTCTTTTTGTCAATTTTAAACGATTTTAGTTCAATAGTGTTCCACTATAATCTCACTTTATCCAGACATCTTTTGGCACAGCTGTGAAGTTATCAAATGGCCATGACATTGTGAAACACTTTGAACCTAAAAGAATTGATTTTAAGAAGACAGATGGTATCAAATTGAGACTCAATTAAACTTGATAATGGAAGTTTACCATGCAAATGCAAACTTGGCCTAATATAATTTTCTGTAGAAAACTTCTTTGCCTAATTTTGCAGTTTTGGGCCAGTGTCTAAATTGATTTGAATTATCTGAACATATTTATCTAGCTATTGAAGGCAGCTAGGCTGAGGGCACGTTGGACATTAGAAAATAGGATGAGGGGCTGGCCTGGTGGTGCAGCGGTTAAGTGTACACGTTCCGCTTCAGCGGCCCGGGGTTTGCCGGTTCGGATCCCAGGTGCTGACATGGCACGCTTGACACGCCATGCTGTGGTGGGCGTCCCACATAGAAAGTAGGGGAAGATGGGCACAGATGTTAGCTCAGGGCCAGCCTTCCTCAGCAAAAAGAGAATGATTGGCAGCAGTTAGCTCAGAGCTAACCTACCTCAAAAAAAAAAAAGAAAAGAAAAAGAAAATAGGATGAGGATTAACAATTCACCTTGACAATCATTCACCTTGAAATTCAGTTACCAAATGGCTGGCTGTATTTTCCTCATTTCAAAGATAAAACCAAGAGAAAAGCATTAAGTGGTTTATCCAAGGACATATGGCAAATCAAATAACAGGAAGTAGAATATGCACCAATCTTTAAACAACAGTGTGATACACCATGAAACACAAATAACTAGAGAAACTGTTTAATCCAGATTTACCTGAAGAAATTATTTTTGCTTAGATCAAGTGGTGGCAATACAGCAGAAAGATGACATTATGAGCTGTCGAAGAAGACAAGCGTCAAACCTTTCTGAGCAGAGCAGAGGAGCTAAGAGCACAGAGCCTGGAGCAGAGGGCTCACGTCCGTCTTAGGGAACTTAAGCTCTGAGCCAGCTGCTTCATCTCTGAAATGGTTCTGAAGATTTAAAACACGTAAGCACAAATTATGTAAGATTCAGTGTGCAACATGAACTTAACAAATAGTAGCTCTGGGGACTATCACTCTACAATGAAACTCAAGTTTTCTCTAAGCTTAACATTTTTATTAGTTTGTCTTATTGCCATATAGACAGGTAGGGTGGAAACAAGGTTTGAAGTCAGGTAGACCTTAACCCAGGTGATGCCAGGCCACTTACTAACAACACTTGCATATGTTAGTAGCGGTTCTGAGGCCAAACCGCCTCGGTTTACAGTGGCTCCAACATGGCCACCTGTGTGCCCTTGGGCAGGTTGATTTCTCCTGACCTCGTTCCAGTGCCCTCATCTGTAGAATGAGGATGTGCAAAAAGTCACAGGGCAGGCCTGAGACTGCGGTCCTCTGCAAGGCCTGCTGATGAGGTTAGCCCTTCACCAGCGTCTGGAAACCTCCATTTTGGGAGGGTTCCCACCACCATTAACTAGAGTAGTGGCTCACTGTGCCTAAACTGTGCAGTTTGGACTGAACACCCGCTTTCCTTCTAGGAATCTGGAATTTTGAGTATGTGCCAGGCAGAGGATGCCTATGTGACCAGCCCTCAACAGAAACCCTGGGCACCGTCTCTAAGGAGCGGCCCTGGTTGGTAACATCTCACACGTGTTGTCACAACTCATGCTGGGGATTAGGCATGTCCTCGTGACTGCGGTGGAGGGGGGTCCGGAAGCTGCGCCTGGTCTCCACGTGGCCTTAGCGCCTTTCCCTGTGCCCTGTGCCCTGGATCATTTCACGTAAGAAAGCCTAGCTGTGAGTACAACCTCATGCTGACTCCTACGAGACCACCAAGCAAGTCATCAAAGTTAGGGGCGGTCTTGGAGACGCTGGACCCAGAGGGTAACGACAGTACTCACTGCACAGGACTGGTGTTAGGATTACACTGGGGACGTGTGCAAAGCAGAGTAAAGGCTGATTCACAGCAGCTCTGTGAAGGCTATATGGGGCCATAAGTGCCTGCCCACCTTTTAGTTTATGGTAAAAACTGAGATAATCTGTGTAAAAACATTCTCTCAAGAGTAACACACATAAAAAGTGGCACTGTTGCTTTTAAATTGCAGGTATTTATTATTATATGTCATTGGTAATAAATAGTATCTGCTTGCTGAATACAGACACAAACCAAATCCCAAACACACATTAGGGTATCAACTGGATATGAGAAATACTTTTCTTCCCTTTGGCGGCAGAGAGCTCCAAAACAATACAAAACCTTGATGATATTACTACTTTTTGTTATCATCTGTAAGCAAGTCATCCACTACCTGATAACTTTTAAATGCAATTTTAGGAGAGAGAAAAATAATTCGAGGAGAAAACATGCTTTATTTAGGAAGTGATAAAACCAGACAGAAAATTATTTATATTGAGGATCAATACTGTATTTGACATTCTTAAAACAATTTTTACCCTAGACCTAACATATGAGGTTACACTGTTCTGCTTAATAAAATATTAACAGCTTAAAAAATGCTTCTGAGAAACTGTGTCCTTAATAGCTGAAGAGGATCAAGGAGCAAACCCTTTGTCTCCTGAGGCCTCGCTGTCCTGCTCAGAGGTTGGCAGGAGTGGGAGGCCACTCTGTGGCCACAGCACAGGAGAAAACATGGGATAGCCCAGAATGCCACAACGACCATCTGACTTTGAGTTGTTAAGAGGCTTTATTCCAGTCTTCTCTTACTTTTCTAGTATGGCTTTCTCTACTTTCTTAAACTTTTTCAGTTCAACAATTACTTCCCAATATTTCAGATATAGCCACATGAGTCTCCCATTTTGGCGTTTGTTGGTATTCCAGACATCCCCACAGTATGTATCATGCTTAAATATGTCAGTCAAGCCAGCTGCCATCTCTAGGTCAGCAGCAACAGGGTCAGTGGATGCTCGAACCAGCAAGCTCTTCTCTATTTCCAGTCGCTTGTGGCGAGGGAGAAGCAGGCTGCAGTAGATATTCTGTCTTTCCGTCAGAGCATCTTCAAACTCTTTCAGCAGAAGCCTGGCTCTCCTCTGCCAGTCTTCTTCCTGTCCCAGGCAGCTCAGGTACGCATTTCTCAAGGGCTGCAACTGTCTCTTTTCTTGCATGACCTGAGCGCGTTCCTGTTCTAGCAGTTTCCTTTCTTCTACCAACCTTCGCCCCTGAGAGATAAGGGCTTCTCGATAACTAGTTGTTCTGTTTTGTTCCTTTTCAAGTTCCAAAGATAGCTGAGCAACAGCACGCCGATTTTCTGAGATCATGGTGTGGTACTTAGCTTCCAGATCCTGCTGGAAAGCAGCCGTTCTCTGACGGTACGCTTCCTTCTCTTTCTCTATTTCTTTTTGGGACTCCCTAGACCAAATCCAACCTGACATGAATAAATTGGGGGAGAAAAACACACACAATGAAAAGTCAGAGCTAAAGTTCTATAATGTTTAAAGAAAACATAAAGTAGATGACAGCATTTCAATAAAATCTTAAGCCCTGAGAGATACAAAAAAGATAACATTTTGTATGAAACTATATAATATACCAAGTTCTTATCTTAAAATCAGATAAAGGCTCCCAAAGGACAAGTAGGACAGGCTGCAGGCAGAGTCCACTCAGGCTTCTCATTTCCTATGGCCAAGAAAGTCAGCCACTGCTTTCTTCTGTTCGCAAACCTCCACCATGTGCCCGCTGTGGCCACAGTGCCCCACATGCTCTCAGAAGGTTTGAGAAGTAACATGGGTATGCTTCAAATACTGGCCAGGTTACTGGAGAATCAAGTGAGTTTCAAAGTGGTCATCACCAGCAAAAGAGAAGAAGTCCAAGATGTTTGCTTATATTCTGATAGGGGTACATAAAAATAAGGTGGAGTTAAGAAATTCAACCTCAAGACATGGTTTGGTTCCCTTTCCCCAAACCAGAAAATGCTGGAATCACACAAACACGGGACAGAAGAGTGCCGGGAGGCTGGGCTGGGTAACACCCGGCTCTGATCCACAGACCAAGGAGCAGCCAGGCCTCTGTCCTCTGCTGCATGGAGAAGTCCAGTGCCTGAGGATCCAGGGACAGAGAAGGGAGGCTGACGACCCACAAAGCCTGCTAGCCAGCAGGCACCTGGTTCTGGATGGAGTCACCAACTCTTCTGTCATCCCACTAATGGCTAAGAGTTTGGTGTGTTTTGATAATAAAACAAAAAACAGTGTGGTGATACAGGAAATCCACCACATTCTGAACTAATGCTCTTGCTCAATAATTTAATAAATGTTGGGGCAACTCTACGCTGAGTCCTAGTTTCTGACAATGATAATTTGCTAAAAGCAGCACGGATTTGAGTCCCTTGGAAAACAGGACTGTTCAGCAAAGCTTCAAAGCCCAAAGTCTAAACACTACCAAGAGCAACAGTTTACTATGAAAGCATTATTTCTGCCCAGCTCTCCAAAGGAGGCCAGGCTGCTCCATGTTGCACATTTTCTTTAACTCCTACAGTCAATAACCCCTCTGGAAATCACTTCATGGTCCTTTTCCTACTCTTGCTGGTTCCTTTCCCCTCCCTAACACCCAAAGGGGTGTCCTGGCCCTTCAGGACTCTTCTTCCAGGTCCCTGGGAATCTTATCTGGCCCTGACACCAAGTCTACTACAGCACTACTTCCACTGTTGCCACCTCAAATACATGAGCATAATACCAAACTCGGCCTCCCTCAACTAAAAATAGCTTCCAGGCCAATTTTAGTTGTTACCTCAAACTCAAAAGCACATGTCATCTTTATCTCCTCCTTTTGCCAAAGAGTTCAGAGGCAGGGAGCTGACCAGTAAAGCAGCAGTTGCAACATAATTTGATAAGCACTGAGGAGCAGAGGAAAGAAGGGCTCATTCAGTTTTGGGTGGAGGTGGGAAGGCTTCATAAAAGAGGGGAACGTGAACAAAGTCTGGAAGTCAGGAGGAAAGGTCCCTCTAGGTGGAATGAACAGGTACAGGAGAGGGTGCCACACGTGCTCAGAGCAGCTTCCAGGGACAGACGTGCCTGGGGTACAGGGCTTCTCCCAAGGAGCAGCTGGAGCCCACTCTGGAAGTCAGCAGGTGCTCGGTAACAGAAGTCCTTTTAGACTGACAAAGAAGTGGAGTAATTTGATGTGACATTACCCTGGTGGCGGTGTGGAAGATTTGGGACAGAGGGTAAAGGAGGGACACTAGAAGAAAGGAGCCACTCCTGTTATAATCTGGGTGCAAGCTAGTTAAAGTACTCCAACTTACACGTGAAACTAGTGGGACTGACACAGAACAGACAGAATCGAACATCAGACCACACGTACATGCTGCAGTCATCAGGAAGTTTCTGGCAGGTCAAAATTCATCAAGAAGGCCTCCTGGAAAAGTGGGACAGGGACGTGGAGACATGCTGGATAAGGAGATTACCAGGGAGAGTGCAAGAGAAAGTGCGGCGTGGCAGAACAGAAGTCCACAAAACCTTAATGCTGGGTCTGATCGGGGAGAATCTTGCCTTATGACTTTGGGCAGACACAATTTTTTTGGAGGCTTCATTTCAGAAGGCATAGAAAAGAGAGATGAGACTCTTGCTTTTGGGAAAAAGGAACAGAAGTACCCTCTCCTATTGTTCCTGCTAAGAACAACTAAGAACCGTGGACATCATCCGTAAAACAAACAGAAGAGGACTCTGAAAGGTGGGGAGCAGCAGGCAGTCTGGTGAGGGAACTTGGGACCCAAGCAATGACAGGGTGCTGGGTCCCAAGGGGTTTCATTTTGCCTCACAGATGCCAGACTTAGAGCTGAAATGCCAACAGGTGCAGGTATTTTAAAAAGCCCCAACAAAAGTCTGCTATCTCTGGCCAAAGGACTAGGAAAGGGGTCTAGCAAGACTGAAAACTTACAGACAATGACCACTGGACTCCCGCCAAACAGCACAGAAGACACTGTGGCCCCACCTCCACCCACGTGGACAAAGACCGAGGGCAGCTCCTCCTGTTCCCCAGGGGAGGCAATAACAAGACACTCCTGGCTCTCCCGGCCAGGCCGGAGGCATCTGCAGAGCCCTGGGGAGGCTGGACCTCCTGATCTTGCCCAGTGGTAATGAGTCACCCTTCCCTTCAGTGTCAACCAGCTGGAGGCCAAGTGGGGAACCTGGACTTCCACCCCTACCTGGGAGTAAGGAGGCAGCACCACCCTTCCTGACAGAGCCCTCTCCAAGAAAGCCAAGCCAGACAAGAAAGGTCTGAATAAAAACCAGAGTCTCATAACGTAATACCCAAATGCCCAGGTTTCAACTGAAAATCAGTCTTTACACCAAGAATCAGGAAGATGTCAACTTGAATCAAAAAAGGTAATCACTAGATGCCAATAGTAAGATGACAGAGATGTCAGTATTATCCAACAAAGAGTTTAAAGCAGCCATCACAATAAAAAGTCTCAGCAAAGAAATAGAAGATATAAAAAAAGCAAACAAATTTTAGAACTGAAAAACAAAGTAACTAAAATAAAAAACAGGATGATGAAATAGGTGTGAAGAGAGAAAGCCCTGCCAGGAGGCTGAAATAATCGACATAGTCCATATGAACACAGACGTGAAAACCTGGAACAAAATGTTAGCATATATAATTCTACTATATATATAAAGAACCACATGGTACCACCTAGTGGAGATTATTCCAAAAATGTAAGACTGGCTCAATATTCAAAAATCAACCTATGTCCCAACATATTAGTAGGCTAAAGAAGAAAAACCATATGATCATGTCAACTGATACAGAAAAACATCTGACAAGACTCAACCTCCTTTCATGATAAAAACTCGGAAAAATAAGACTAGAGGGAACTTCAGTGTCTTGATAAAGAGCATCTATGAAAGACCTTCAGCTAACTTTGTACTTAATGGTGAAAAGACTGAATGCTTTTTCTCTAAGATCAGGAACCTCAACAGAGTGCTGGCAGTTCCAGCCAGTGAAAGAAAGCGGGAAAAAAAATAAAAGGCAAACAGACTGGAAAGGAAGAAATAAAATCTAAGTCTCATACCTTATACCAAAATTAACTCAAAATGGATCACACACTTACATGTAAAAACGCAAACCTAAAATTTTAGGAAAAAACATAGGAAAGAACCTTCAGGATCTAGGGCTGGCAGAGTTCTCAGACTTGGCACAAAAAACATGACACATAAAGGAAAAACTGATAAACTGGACTTCATCAAAATTAAAACTTTAGCTCTGTGAAAAACTCCATTAAGAGGATGAAAAGACAAGCTACAGACTGAGAGAAGATATTCACAAACCAGAGATCCAGCAGAGTACCAGACTCTAGAATACAGTGAAAACTCTCAAAACCCAACATTAAAAACAATCCAATTACAAGCTGGCTGAGAGATAGTTCATGGAGAGGGTGTGCAATGCAAAGATGCTCCACATCATTAGCCATCAGGGAAATGCACGTTAAACCACGATGGTCTGGCTACACACCTATCAGGACAGAAGAATAAAGACAACAGAGCCCTCACCAAATGCCGGCAAGGACGCTGTGACCCTGGATCCTTCACACAGTGCTGGTGAGTATAAAACGGTACAGCCACTCTGGAAAACATTCGGCACTTTCTTAAAAAACTAAACATCAACTCATGGAGGCTGAAAAGAGGAGGCGGTTTTTATGACTCAGTGATCTGCACGGTGCCTGCTTCTCAGTGAAAGACTGGGCAGACCCAAATACAGCCTAAGGGTTAGAGGCTCACCGCCTGTCATCTTGCAAAACACCACTTAACACTTGGAAAGGCTGCCTGTTGCCTGTGGCTAGGGTGATGAACTTGGGGGGCGAATTAGAAGGCTTAGAACTACACTTACTAACCCAACAATTAATTGGTTTCCAGGCTCAGAGACGCCCTGAAGTGACTTACATTTTCCGTTTGTTTTTCAGGCTCACCTCTAGCTTTTACAGACTTTCCTAATAACCTTTACTTTTGAAGTTCTTGCCTTCTTGGACTTCTGAAATGATGCTGTCCCTCCCTGAGAAGCATTGAGGAATATTTTATTTTTTCTTCTTGGTTATCTTGCTTAGGTAACGTGATCAGAGAAAAATTTTAACTTTGCATTCTTATAAACATTCTCCAAAAATGTGTTATTACATGCTTGAGACACATATTGCAACCTGTGGGTGTCGAGTAGTCCAGCACAGTCTAAAGGTAAAGGCTGACAAACGAAGTCTATAAACACTACTCTCGTCAGCCTCCACTGCCTCTACGTAAACCTGCGGACCTGAGAAATCCAGGCGACAAAAAACCATTCCATTTAAAAAGTGTCACTGCACCCAGAGAGCAGCTTTTGCTGTTTTTCCATTCAATTATTCAGTTTCTCATATTCTTAAGTGCCAGCCAGCAGGACCGTCAGACACAACAAAATATTAAACTAACTCCTGAACATCAGGAAATTTACCATATAGTGAGGAAATAAGCTAAGGGCTGGGATAATTACAACTGACTGGTGACTGGTAATTTCCCCAAAGTGGACAAAGTCAATTCAAACTAGAGAGAATTCCTGGCCAGGCAGAGCAGAGGTTTCATGGATGAAGTCTCCCAAAGACTGACTTCCTAAACACGGAATAGACATCCAAACTGGTTTTCTTCTAAGACTGTTTCATTCTTCCCCACTGGTCCCATGAGGGCACCTGAAGAGCAGTGAAGCCTTGAAGGGGAGCTCCCAGTTGTTAAAACCACTCTACACACAAGGCTTCTAAACCTCTTGTCAAACTGAACCCTCACAATGAATCCAGGTAATTATGATCAGCCCCTCGCAAGGAGAGGGAAACTCAGGCTCAGAGGGTTAAGTAATGTGTCCAAGACACACAGCATGGGATAAAACTAGGATGCACACCTGCATCTGTCAGGTTCCAAAGCCCGAGGTCTTTGGCCTCCACACTTTTAGCCCAGAAAACGCAAATGTTAGGAAAACCACGACTTACGAAAAGCAGCCAATCCCAGCATTGGAACCAACAGGGCATAATTCCATCGGCTTCCATCACCCCCATCAGCCCTGGAGTTGGGCCGGATATTCCAATTTGGGGGGTCATTTAAGTTATTCATGGAGGTATACCTTAAAGTAAAGAACAAAACCATTAACCACACAAAGTGCATAAAATACATCTGTCACAATTATACTACCTAAATGGCTCATATGAATCCTTTTTTTCCTTCCAAAAAACTTTGTTCACTTCTTATGTGCTGCACAGCACTGAACCTTACAGGAGAAAAAGAAGAAAAAGATGAGAACTCAGACAAAAGCAACTCACCATGTAGTGGGGGAGAGAGATGTGTCTCAACTAACTGAAATACAAGTAGAACGAGGTGCATTCTCTAGTACAAATACGTTTAAAATTACGCTTTTATATAAACACACAAAAACGGGAAGGTGCGAAAACCCTGGCTTCTTCATGAAATGGGAACAGCACTGAGGGCGGAGGCAGATCGCGGGGCAGACGGGGACAGCGCTGGAGATGGCTTTCATTGCTCTCCACTTTGGGGGCGGTGCACGCACTGAGAGGGGCTCCTGCTAAAGCTGGAGCCACATCTCAGTAAGGAGGCTGCGGTCTCACGCTGACGCGCATTCTCCAATTCACTAAGTACCCACAGAGGCTGGGCACTTTCACAACTTCGTCCTGAGGACCTTCCGCTTGTTTCCAGGCTGCTGCCTACACAATACACACTAGTTACAAAAGAATAATCAGGGGACGCTGGAGAAAAAAGGAATTCAATTCAGTTTTGAAAAATTTTAATGGGTTTTTCAGTAAATACTTGCTTAACACCTAAAACCGGAAAATTCTCATTGGCAATAAAGAAATGCCAAAAGAAAAACAGCTCAGGACTTAACGTGAGGGAGTTCGTGGCAACCACAGGATAAACATGTTAGAGTCTGAAGGAACCGAACTGCGCAACTGTCGCAGGGCGTCGGGAAGAACCGTGCTCACGCCCTCGGCCAAGGAAGCCCGCCTCCGGGGCACACGGCCGAGGACACACGTCATTCTAACGGAGCAACGTAAGCCAGATAAAGATCCGCTGGCACAGATACATCCCGTAGGGTGTTACTTACTAATGGCAAAAAACTGGACACCACCTAAACGTCAATGAAATGGCGACGGCCCACTGTCAGCTCACTCAGTGCAACATCCAGAATTACGCCGCACACACCTGCGCACCGGGAAGGTCGGGGCAGGGGGCCGCGAGCGCGGTCCTCCCGAATACCGTTTGTCCCCCACGCCGCCCCGTCCCTCGGGTGCGGGCAGATGCTCGACAGAAACTGACCGAACGCCGGGAGGCGCGGAGCCGGCACCCCGCAACCGCAGGCTGCCCCGCCCAACGCGGCGCGGCCAGCCGACACCCCGACTCCGCGCAGTCCCCCGGCCCCGAGACCTACCGCCGACCCCCTACTCCGCGAACCCCCACTTCCAGCCCGCCCCAGGCCCCGGACCTACGGCGCGGCCAGGAGGGCCGGGGCCACTTGCCCTGAGCACCACCGTCCGCAGATCTTCTTTGCGCAGGCGCGGTGCCCCGACAACCCCACCCAGGGTCGCAGCGTCGTGCGCAGGCGCAGGCGCGGTATACCCCCCCCCCCCCCCCCCCCCCCCCCCCCCCCCCCCCCCCCCGGGCTTCGACGCCTCTCGCAGTGCGGTGCGCAGGCGCGGCCTGGCGCGGGGGCTAGTGGGACCGCCTGCAGAGGGCAAGCATGTCGGGGGTCTGTGCGTTGTCGCGGCTGCTTCCTGCCCGGCGTCTGGCGCTGACCAGGGCGGTGAGTCGGCGCTGCGGGGCCAGTGGGCCCTCAGGGCGGAACAGGCCGGACTCCGGGTCCCCGCGCCCCGGTCGGGACGGGGGGAGCAGCCGCGGGCCGCCCGAGGGGTCGTGGGGCCGCCGGGGCCAGCGGCCTCTGCCCAAAGCCGGCCCTGCCGGTGAAGGTCGCAACCCCGCGGGCCTCCTCTGGCCCCTGCCTCCCCAGGGCCTGTCTGTGAGCGGGCAGGTGTGCCAAGGTCACGCAGGGGGCGGCTGACCCTGAGGCCACGGGCGGAGGCGGGACCAGGACCGGCAGTGTCCGCGAGGTCCCGCCGGGTCCCCGCGGCCTCCCGGTGAGCGGCAGAGGCGCGGCCAGGGGCCGGTGCAGGGGGATTCGAGCCCCCGGGACCGGGTGGGCAGCAGGCTCGGTCGGCCTGCCCTGTTTGCAGATTCGAGTACACAGGAGAAGGCGTGGGTTTGTGTGTCCGCGCCAAGACCGGACAGTAAGTGTGGGGCCTTCATTTTGGGTTTCCTTTGTGCATGCTTTCAAAAGATCAGACGGAGGGGCCGGCCCGGTGGCATAGTGGTTAAGTTCGCGCGCTCCGTTTCCGCGGTCCTGGTTCCTGGGTTCGGATTCTGGGCGCGGACCTATGCACTGCTCATCAAGCCATGGTGTGGCGGCGTCCCACATACGAAATAGAGAAAGATTGGTACAGATGTTAGCTCAGCGACAGTCTTCCTCACTGGAAAAAAATTTAAAAATACAGACGCAGAATTTCAGCACGCTGACTGCAAAGCTGCGTTTGGGCGAGGACGCCGGCATGTTTGTTTTTCTGTGCGTCATCTGTGGAGGCCGTGCCAGATTCTGGTCAGTCGAGGATGACCAGCCGGGTTATGCTTTCCTGAGGCCTTGCTGCTGGATTATGTCAAATGTACCTCTACAATTACATCTTAGTAGTCGATCTTTTAGAGTTTTACTGCACCACACTAAATTTAGAGGATTTAGTTATTTCCTTCTTTTGAATGATCTCGCCCACCCGCCTACTTCGTAATTTAATTACGAAGTAAACGTCCCAGTAGGAACCAAGGCATTCAACAGTGTTTACTGGACTTCTGCCTGTAATTACAACCACAGTTTTCTCCTTTTTGGTATATAGATAGTAAAAATCATGTTAAATGTGCGGATTTAGTTAGACAGCCATCTAACCAACACCAGCACCAAGTGTTCCTATAGTTGGTGCTTACTGAGCAGAGATCCCCCCTCCCCCAAATTTTGGGCTCTAAGACACAGTGGTGGAAGTCCACAGGCAGGAAGTGAAGTCCATGGTTAGTGGAGTATTTTTAGTCATCCAAACATGAGCAGACTTCTAAGTGCTTCCTACTTGGTAGGTGAACTGACAAATTGATAACTGGTTGTGATTGGAGAAGAAAGAGCTAATGTCTGTCCTCAACCCAGCCTGGTGCCCAGCTTGCTTGTGCAGACTAAGACCCCTCCAGCTTGGGGAACTCCCTTCACCTACCCCCACACTTTGTCAATTTAAAAAGCGTTGTCCTTTGTCCAGGCTGGACTGGAAGAGTTTTAGCTCTGAGCATTTAGCTGAAAGTGAGGATGAGGTTCTAAGTACAACAGGTCAGAGTGCTAAGCCTCTCCTTTCATGTTGTCTTGATTCCAAGTGATCTTGGTTGAATCAGCTGTTAGCTGCCAGTGCTTTACCTTCGTTATCTCCTTGAATCTTCACCTCTGTCCTGTGTTTAGGTATGGTACTTGTAAACATGATGGCAGGATAGAGATAGCAAAGTGGAACCACAAGTTAGGCCTGTGAAAAAGATGGCCTTGGGTTTTTAAAAAGTCTTTTGATCTTGATGAGGATAGCTTTTGCTAAGGGAAATTAATTCTGTCCCAGGCAATATATTTATTGGAGTTTAAAATTGGCAAGAACAAAAGCATCAAATTAGAAGAACAAAAAAAGAAAATTTGTGATTGCCAGCTGAGAAATGTCCCTGGAGCGTAGAGGATGAGGATAATTTGAATAAAGTCCACAGAGAATTTTTCTTGATCTCATTTTGTTTAATTCTGTGGTTTTTCCGTGTCATATTTACAGCTGCTTTCAAGTTACAAAATTATCAAACCTATTTTGCCTTTGTTTCTTTTTCTATTGCCCCAGTGCACTGACACAATTTGCAAACTGTTCCAAAGTTTAATCAAAAGGAAAAGTAAAACCAAGGACCTTAAATAGTTGTTGGTTAACTGCTCACTTCAGATAGATTTTTCACATCCTTTCACATGAATATCCAAGGTATGGTTCTGAATATGTTTTAATGATATATCTAGAATCATTATTTAGGTCACTGTGGTAAACTTTTGTTTTGCTTCTTGGCATAATTATAATGCCACTGGTATTCAGTGCTATATTCTGTGTGATGCTTTTCCTGGTTTTCAAGCCACTTGAAAAATTGTGGCTTGGTTTTGATACATAACCTGGATATTCATCTTAGTTTGGAGTCCCAGAGATTTTTCCCGAAGAGCCTTAGATAGTGGGGAGAGTACAGGATCTAGAGCTATCCAGGCAGACCTGAGTCCAGACCCCACTTACCTTGGATAGACTCAGTTTCTACCTTGTGAACTGTATTTTAAGCATCCCTGTTTTAAAAAGTTTTAAATTTTTAATGAAAATAATTACACATAGTTGTAAAAAAAAAAGTGAGTACAGAAGTCCTTATAAATGAAAAGGAGTAAGAGCTCCTCCTTCCCCAGACCTGTTCCCTAGTGGAATTAATTCTGAATTGCTTCTGGTATTGGCTCTTGGTATTTACCTCCATTTCTCTAGCTAATATGCAAGTGCATTTTTATCCGTTTTAGATGTCAACTTTTGCTGGTGAATGAGGATTTAGTTCGCTTACAAATCATCCTACTTCTTCCTACTTCAGTCCTCCCAATAGAGTTATGCAACCACTTTCAGATCCTTTATTGGCTACTCTTGTAATTGTGTAGATCGTACTTACAAATTAGTTTCTCATTCGTGATTCACACCTATATTTTATTAGCTGAGGGCTCCCCACTTTGCTAGATTGAGGATATCAGTATCTCTATCCTTCTCAGTTTTTTTCCCTTTACCTCCTAATTCAGTTCTTTATGCTGTTAAAAAGGTCTAAGTGTTCCTTTTAATTCTACCATAGGTATATTTCCCCATTCTTCATCATGTTGCCCTTTTAGAAAATAATAGTTTCTCTTCAAAAAACATTAGATTAATAAGTGACACAAAATGAGTATACCTAAAGACAGAAATTGGGTTAAAATTGGACTCCCCAGATTCTAAAATCACTCCCCAAATCAGATTTAGCTGCAACAGTTAATGCTACTATTTTCCACAGGGAGATAGTGTGATAATTTATTAAAGATGTTTTTATAATTGCTGTGGTTTTTTAAGCTAGCTCTGTGTGTGTGTGTGTGTGTGTGTTTATTCAACATGAACATCCTAGAAAGAAAAAATAAATACTTAGGGAATCTCACTGTTTCTATTTTAATATTACAAAATGTACTGTTCTTACTGGTATTATTACCTATGTTTATATTATCCTTTATAAAATTTTCAAGAACATTTGTATTAAAATCCTTTTAGTTACTTAATTCTTTGTTAAAATGAGGTTCTACAATTTGAAAAATTATACTAACACTGAAGAATATTTGTTCTTTTTGGCTCTTTTTAATTCATTTCCTGAAAGGAAAAAAACTATATTGGCTTTTGTCAATGAAAACATACTTAAAATTGAAATTGGAAGATTCAAGACTATCACTCTCATCAGTTCAGATCTACTTAAAAATCCCGAAACTACTCTGTAATTGGAGCGCTTGAGATAAACTCAATTGTTTGTGCCAGCCATCATCCATTCTCAGAGCTAAAGGGAGCCTTAGAGTAGGAGCCAGCTCTGACTTTCTTCGCAGGCAGCCGAGCCATCCAGTCCCCTGAAAGCCTTTCCTCTCATAGAGCAGTCCGTTCAGTTTAAAACAGCTCAGAGTTCGTTTTGTATTTTGCCAGATTCTCCTCCTTGTAGTTCCCGTTTGTTTGTCCTACAGAATAAATTTTTTTTCACCACACAGAATAAATGTGTCTTCCAAATTACAGAATACTTGAAGGCATCTCTCATATCCCTGTTTGTCATTGTTGAGTGTACTTATTTCCTAAAACTGTCCTTTATGCTATTTTTAAGACTCTCTGTTTTGCCGTAGTCCTTGCAAATACAGTCAGCAGCATGGAAAACATATCTCCTAAGTTGCTGGCCGTTCTTAGCATGTGAAGAAGGTTGCCTCTCATGCTGGATTGTCATTTCATTAGTACCAACTTTCTTGGGTAAATGTTTATAGGATGGGACATTTAAGCCAAGACTTGGAGAGTTGCAGAGGTTAACGAGAGAAAGGCCAGGGACGAGTGTGTGGGTGGAAGAAACAGTACCTTGTGGTATGACAGACGACGGGGAGTATGGCTGAAGTCTAGTGTAAATGTGGAGAGTGGTGAAGCAGGACCATCTCTGGGCCTGGAATCCTCACATTTACAGTGAAGGGTTAGAACCACGGTGCTTCAGTGTCACAACAAGTAACAGAGCCTGTTCTAGAATGTCCGCCTCCCCATACACTGTCCAGTGCCTACCCCATTGTACTGTGAAACCTCACAGATGAGTA